TGCAGAAATAGTTGCAGAAAAGACTTAAATTAAGTGAATCGAAGAGATGTTGTAAGGAGATAGTACAGAAAATAATTTGTATAAAGAAAAAATATAATTTAAATTAAAACGATTCATGTTTGTCGATATTTGCCATTTGCGAAGCTAGATTTATTGTTAGTTGCATCATGGTGACGTCATCTCTGTTCCTCCTCGCTGCTTATATTCTTCATCTTTTGTTAATATTAGTTCGGTACTGTTAGTTTTCTCAATAATGTTCTATTTGTCAACAACTTACAAATACTTAAAGAAAAAGTGTAAATTAAAAATGCTACCAAGACTTGGACTGAAATGGGAGGAAAAGGAAGCTAAAGTGACTATTTCTTAACACGAAATTAAATTATACAACATAAGTGATAATAAATTAATATATGACCAGAAATAATAATTGACAGAGGTTAACGATAACAAATAGATAATATTATATAAAAGTCAGCTCAAAAATAAACTAAACTCTAAAGAAAAGTCAGCATCCTTTCATTCTTTCCTTTTTCATTGATTTCTCAAAGTCAGACCAAGCCAAAGAAATCTGTGCGATTTTGTCATCAATTAAATAGTGTCTCCTGTGAGTGTCCAATCAAAGTACAGTAATTTCTCCCAGAAATATTTGGAGTCGGAATCGAAACACGCAGATCTAAGAATGCTAAGTCGCGCTAAGACACGATTCTTCGAGCTTCGCGACCGTTTCTATAGAAACTCAGAGCAGTCGGCAAAAAAATGCAGCGGCCAGCATACCGGTATACAGGGTGTCCCAAAAATGTCTCGCAATCCGGAAATGGCGGGTTCCTCGGATCATTTGAAACAACTTCTTCCTTTACAAAAATGTTCTCCGAGGCACCGTTAACGAGTTATTAACGAAAAAGCAGTGACCAATAAGAATCGAGTACGGCCAACGCGAGGCGGCCCAGCCAACCAGCGCGCGAAGCCCAGTTCCGCTCATTGGCTCGGTCGCCTCGCGCCAGCCGAGCTCGCCTCTCATTGGTCACTGTTTTTCGTTAATAACTCGTTAACGGCGCCCCGGAGAAAATTTTTGTAAAGCAAAAAGTTGCTTCAAATGGCCCGAGGAACCCGCCACTTTCGGATTGCGAGACATTTTTTAGACACTCTGTATATTAACATGAATGCATAGTAATGCTATAATAAAAACAATTCGAAGGCAATTCGAATAGAATAAAAGCGAACTGTAATAAAAACGCTAAAGTTAGAACCCGTCCCAAAATTCGCGAAGCCAATGATCTAGATCTAACCAGTGACCCTGTTGCAGCGATGTGCAGGCAGCTCGAACAGATGAAGAAGGAGCGTATAAAAAACGGTTCGACGACCACGTCGACGTCATCCCCGAGTCCGCCTCCAGCCAGCCAGTTCAGCAACCGTGGCTCCGGTTGTACAACGGTGCCCTGCAACCGGGACTCCGATAAAGTGCGGGGCAACGAGGGCAACTGCAGCTACGAGTGCGTCGCCTTGCACGTCAGCCCGGACTTGGGTGAACGGGTGATGCTGTCGGGTGGTAGCGCGCTTTTGGACGAGGTGTTCCCGGAGACGACGCAAGCGGTGATCGACGCTCGTTCCGGCGTCGCCTGGCACCAGCAGGACGCCCGCTACGTGATCAGGTTCCCGTTGAACGGTTTCTGCAAGCTGAACTCCGTGCAGGCGATCACCAGGCTGCTGAACGCAGGGTTCCGCGTGGTCGCCAGCAACGGCGGCGGCGTCGAGGAGCAACAGTTCTCGGAGTACCTGTTCGTGCGACAGGCCGTCAACACCTGACGGAGCACCGCGCACCAGCGCAAAACGAGCTCGAGGACGGTCCGCTGCCTGCAGCAGGATCTGGACCACGAGTGAGTTGTCTCCAGGAGAAGAATATCGAAGACTGTGTCACGGATGATCGTCTGATCCAGCGAAGCACCGCGCGCTGCTTCAGCTTCCGAGGATCGTTCGGGAGATTTTCGTACGTCGAGCGCGTTGATTCGAACCTCTCTAACCTGCGCCCCGCTTCGGGCGTAGGGTTCTGAAAATTGTCTGAATAGCCGGGCCTCGCCGAGCGAGGACTTCGCGGGATACGTCGATGCAGGTTTTGCATTTGAAATTAATTCTTCGATCGACGAAACTCGGATCGAATATAAAAATTGAACGGTTCTTTGTAAATAATTGTCGAAGGACGATCGATTATNCGCGCCAGCCGAGCTCGCCTCTCATTGGTCACTGTTTTTCGTTAATAACTCGTTAACGGCGCCCCGGAGAAAATTTTTGTAAAGCAAAAAGTTGCTTCAAATGGCCCGAGGAACCCGCCACTTTCGGATTGCGAGACATTTTTTAGACACTCTGTATATTAACATGAATGCATAGTAATGCTATAATAAAAACAATTCGAAGGCAATTCGAATAGAATAAAAGCGAACTGTAATAAAAACGCTAAAGTTAGAACCCGTCCCAAAATTCGCGAAGCCAATGATCTAGATCTAACCAGTGACCCTGTTGCAGCGATGTGCAGGCAGCTCGAACAGATGAAGAAGGAGCGTATAAAAAACGGTTCGACGACCACGTCGACGTCATCCCCGAGTCCGCCTCCAGCCAGCCAGTTCAGCAACCGTGGCTCCGGTTGTACAACGGTGCCCTGCAACCGGGACTCCGATAAAGTGCGGGGCAACGAGGGCAACTGCAGCTACGAGTGCGTCGCCTTGCACGTCAGCCCGGACTTGGGTGAACGGGTGATGCTGTCGGGTGGTAGCGCGCTTTTGGACGAGGTGTTCCCGGAGACGACGCAAGCGGTGATCGACGCTCGTTCCGGCGTCGCCTGGCACCAGCAGGACGCCCGCTACGTGATCAGGTTCCCGTTGAACGGTTTCTGCAAGCTGAACTCCGTGCAGGCGATCACCAGGCTGCTGAACGCAGGGTTCCGCGTGGTCGCCAGCAACGGCGGCGGCGTCGAGGAGCAACAGTTCTCGGAGTACCTGTTCGTGCGACAGGCCGTCAACACCTGACGGAGCACCGCGCACCAGCGCAAAACGAGCTCGAGGACGGTCCGCTGCCTGCAGCAGGATCTGGACCACGAGTGAGTTGTCTCCAGGAGAAGAATATCGAAGACTGTGTCACGGATGATCGTCTGATCCAGCGAAGCACCGCGCGCTGCTTCAGCTTCCGAGGATCGTTCGGGAGATTTTCGTACGTCGAGCGCGTTGATTCGAACCTCTCTAACCTGCGCCCCGCTTCGGGCGTAGGGTTCTGAAAATTGTCTGAATAGCCGGGCCTCGCCGAGCGAGGACTTCGCGGGATACGTCGATGCAGGTTTTGCATTTGAAATTAATTCTTCGATCGACGAAACTCGGATCGAATATAAAAATTGAACGGTTCTTTGTAAATAATTGTCGAAGGACGATCGATTATTCGTACTGACGTTTGTATTATTTTATGAATAAGTAATAGAAGTTCGTGTTAAATTTGAAAATTGTATGAAATACGATCTGCGAAAGGGTTGATTTCTTTTGCAAAAAGTTGTGTTTGATTTGCAAAAATATGAATGAAATCTGCAAAAGGGTTAACGTGATTCGCCTGAAGATTGGCACGTTGTACGAAAGAATTCATTTGGATTCGCATGAAGGCGATTTGATTCGTGAAAGAGCTAATGTTGAATGCAGAAAAGGTAAATTTGCTAAAGAATCAATTCGAATTGCAAAAGGATGGATTGATTCGCAAAAGAATTAACGTGAAATACGAAAAGAATTCGCTTTAAGTAGAAAATGGTGAATATGATCCGCGAAAAGACTAATTTTTAGTACAAAACCTGCGATCATCGTAGCCGTGCGCTCAATTATCTAGGGCTTCGAGCTACCGAAACATGGACAACTATTGGGTTGGCAACTAAGTAATAGCCGATTTGTTCAATGAAATAAAAAATTTTGTTTTACTTGGAACGAAGTTTAATCTGTAATGTATTTTCCATTTTGTTCGATGACCTTTTGCCATCTCTCCGACAACTTGAAAATTCCACGCTCGTAGAAAGTCTGATCCTTTTCGGCCAAAAACTGAATTAACCCCTTGACATACCATTTTCTTCGCAGTTACTGCGATTAGAAATTTTTCGATTGCAATAATTTCTTAGAAGCGAAAGAAAATTGCTGCTTATTGTATGCCTAAATTCTCTTGAATGCTTAAACATTGATAACAAGAGATTAGAAATTTATTGCAATTTTAAAGGACAGAATAACAGCTATACTCGATAAATTATTACTAGAAATTTTCATGACGAATCGAACTCGTCAAAGTATGGCAAGGGGTTAAGTGAGATTTTACAGCGTCATCGTCATTCAAAGTTTTACCACGAAGGGAGTTGTCCAGGGATCGAAATAAGTGGTAATCCGATGGC